GCTATGATAGTTAAAGAAATACACTAAAAACTAAAGGAAGACCTCGGATTCATCGCAGAAAGAATGGTAAAATACGTAAATAAGAGAAGGGTCGAGGGACCGCCCCTAGAGGAGGGGGACCCCGTCTACCTTTTGCGAAAAAACATTAAAATAAAACGACTAAGCGCGAAATTAGATTACGTTAAGCTAAGACCATTTAAGGTCAGAGAGAGAATAGGAAAAGTTAACTATCGGTTAGAACTCCCGAAGGACATAAGAATTCACGATGTATTCCATATCGCCTTACTCGAACTAGCACTAAAGAACGCTAAACCGATCTAATTACTACCGCTAGACGAAGAAGTCGCACTAGAAGAGTACGACGTTAAGGAAGTGCTCTAGAGACGCATTAGGCGCGGCACCCCTTAGTACCTAATTAAGTAGTTAGGATATGACGAGTCAGAAAACAGCTGGGAACTTAAGGCTTACCTGTCGAAGGAGGTTCTAGAGGAGATCTAAAAATAACACCTGGAGTAGTTCTACCAGACAGTACCGCCTCCTAGTCAATCTATTCGACGTTCGGAACGTCGCTCTAGGCGAAGTTAGGTTTAGTAAGAACTACCTCCTCTAACTCTAGCAGCTTATCGAACACCCCTAGAGCTTACATCTCACGACGTAACATCTAACTTGATATCTCCTCTAACTACTCGAGTTCGCCCTGGAAGGAAACATCCTCCTCCTCGGCCTCGGTAATCAACTTACGAAGCCGAGCGATCTCTTTTCGCTTCGCCCGCGACTTTACAACTAATTATTTCTTTTATTCCCCTACTTTTCGGAACTCTTCCATCGAAAAGGTACCATCGCACTTTCGCTGTTTTCGGAGACATTCGGCACACGAGGACGACTACTCGCGGTCGTAGTAATAGATAATACCATAGTTGACGCACTCGGTGCAGGTAACTATCGCGATGTTATCCGGATCGGCGGAAATGGAATCGGCGAGTTCGATACGACGTTCGCTTTAAGTTTTCATAGGTTTTAAGGAACGACGAGGTTTAGCTATGCGGAAGTTCTACATAGTTAGCCATAAAGAAGAGAAGAAGAAGACGAGAGACGCGGGGTAGGCGCGACCTACCTTAAGTACGTTGAGGACAACGAACAGGATAGGAGGGAGATGGTGTTAGAAACGGCCTATATATGACCTTAGGCGCGGGGTGCCTAGGAGTAGGTCTGCCGGGGCTTAGTAGCCTGATAGAGAATAAGGCTGGGTTACGTACCGCACGTGACTACCGAAAGGGGAAGTTCACGATATGGCGATATACTGGTATACCGCATATTAACATATTAATATACCATTTCCAGTTGCCTATTCGGGACATACCTTATAAGTATATAGCTACGCTCATTACCCTTTTATAGTTACACTCTCTCGTAGCTAACTCATGACATCTACTTCACTATACTATTCTAAAGTTACTCGACTATTTATACCTTACGTACTCTCGGCCTAGCTCATGTAATATAAGGACTGTGACTGAGGAAGCCTAACCTAGTTAGGCCATACAGGAAGCAGCTCTGATAATGTATCTTACGACGAAGATAAGACCTGACCTAGCCTACCCAGTAGGCTATCTCGCTAGGTATATGTCGAATCCTAGTCCTTTACACTTTAAAGTACTTAAAAGGGTCTGGGAATACCTAGCGATAACAAAAGGTCTAGGCCTAGCCTATTAATCTAACTCTACTAGCATCGATTGCTATGTAGACTCAGATTGGGGGGGTGATATAGGCACTAGACGATCTACAACAGGCTATCTATTCGTCTTCCAAGGCGCTCCTCTATCCTGGAATTCAAGACTATAGCGTATAGTGGCGCTAAGTTCTTGCGAAGCTGAATATATGGCCTTAAAAGAGGCTATAAAGGAGTAACAGTATATTAAGGCATTACTAAGCGAGATAAAAGGTCTTCTAGGCCCTAGTCTTACTATAGAATGCCTAAACATCTATACTAACTCCCATTCAGCTATAGAACTAGCGAAAAACCCTATATACCATGCTAGAACTAAGCATGTCGATATTCAGTACCACTACGTACGCGAATGCGTCCAAAACGAGGTATCTAAGCTTAAATAGGTACCTACCGACGCTCAACTGGCCGATGGTCTAACTAAGCCTATAACTACCGATAAATGGATCGCTTTTATCGAAGGAATAGGCTTAAGAGACCTAAACTAGCCTATTTAGGCTAGAAAGGTGCCTACAGGCAAAAAGACAAAAAACAGGCCTCCTATCGAGACGAAGTCAACAGGAGACAGTTATTACCTAGGCACCGTCAGGGCGTCCCTCTACTAGTGGGTTACAATAGAATACAAGACTAGTAGGAGGAGCTTTACAACACCTTATAAAAGGTCGGACCGCCCTGCTCCCTTCGATAGAAGGGCCCTCAATAATACCCTAAAGGTAACTTTACCTAACAGCACTAACATTTACCCGTCTTCCACTATAAATAAGGGTTGAGTAAAGGGGATAGTGCTAAAGATAGGAAAGTTAACCTTCGAGGTACGTCAACTACAGATTAAGATTCTAGGTAATTAAGAGATTTATTCGTAACTCTCGATTATATACCTTATTAAATGGGCTAAGGTAAGGGGGTTCGATTCCCACTTATTTCAGACTATTTAACTAGTCTAGCCTTTTCATTTTACAGGCCATTTCAACAGGCCTAGTGTGGGACTATCAGGAAAAACGATATTCCAGAAATAAGCTAAAATCTCGCCAAGACTAGGTGAGAACTAGCTTAAGGGGGTGTGTGGAATATCGCTATCTAGGTCTCTTACCTAACTAGGCTTAGCGCTAGGCACGTGACTTGATCACGTAGCTAGGTGGCTTAGCTAGGTAAGATAACTAGGTAGTGTAGCCACTTACATCATCGCTTACTAATAGCGATTCGATGGGTTTCGTTTATCTTCTAACTATCGCCACTCGCTACCTATATAAGGACAACCCTCTCCCCTCTCTTAGATAGTTAAGTTCACTAAGTCTTCTATAGTCGAATAGTTAATACCTATCGGTTCGATCCTATAATGAGCCTATTCATTACCTATTTAGGTAATCCTCCGAGTCCTCCGAACAGTAAGTAAAGGAAATATTATTTTTCGTCTTTTCTTAGGAGTTTTTCTCTCCTCCTTTCTTTTCTTCTTCGTAATTTCTAGTTAATCTTCTAGCTCTACTTCCTAATAGTAGTAGCTTTATACTCCTCTCCTTCTAGTAGTCGGAGCTTAACGGCTTAGTCTTACTATTCTATAAATAGTTATTAGTAGTTTTAGTATTTAAATACTCTTTAATATTAGAGGTTTTTAAGGTTAAACGCCCTCCCCTTCCTTAAGGATATATCTCTATTAATTCTCTAAGTAATTATTTAATAGTCGTAACGTCGTTAATATCTACCCTATATAGTAGTAGTAAATATATATAGCTAGTATTCCTAATAGTACCCCGAGTAGCGGTTTTCTTAAATAGCTAGCGTAGCTCGCCTTATATAGTAGGATAAATATACTTAGTTAGTTACTTAATAATATGCCCTATATAGCGGTCCTATATATATAGTTAGCTTCTCTATTTTAGTAGGTAATCGATTAGTCGGTTTTAGTAAGTAGGTAAGTAATTCTTTAGTTCTATTAATTCTATTATCTTCGTTTAATTATATAGTTATATAGTTATTTTAGTTATTTTTAGTCGATCTTTAGTTCGGTCATCTTAGTAGAGTTATCCTACCGCTCGTAGAGAGATACCCTTCTAAAAACGTTCGTCGTAGCTGTATCTTCATCTTATTAGAGGTACTAATGAACTAGGTATAGGCTCTTAGCTAGAGGCATCAACTCGTACGGCGGTAGGTATAGTATTAGGGGTAACGACTATCGTACAGTAATAATAAGACCGCATCGAAGATACTGATTAGATAGATTCCATTACTTGATTAATCGCTCTATTCTCTTCTTATTAAGAACTTGCTTATTTTAGAACTTATCCTCCAAGAGGATCTCTGAGAAAAGGACTCTCGGACCTAGTGTCCGAGATCCAGCTAATTAGGAGGTAGGAAGGTTTACCTGTACATTGTACAGGTAAATCAGCTAGTCACGTGCCAGCCTGTAGACCTCCCCATTACACTATTATTAAGTCTAGAGATATTACTCTTATCGCTAGCTACCGGTATAGCTAATACGACCCTACCTAATAACTCCGTATTAGCGAGGCTATTTAACGGAGTAATCTTACCTAGCTCGTCGCTGGTCTTTATATAGCCTAAACCTAGATTCCTCCCTCTAATAGTATGAAATTCGAGAAGGGGTAAGTATCTTCGAAAATTTCTTAGTACGTCCTAACTAATCCTCCGGGACCTATACTTTCGAGCTACGATCCTTCCCTATTATTAGGAATATAAAGAAAAGAATGGTATCGACGTACTTAGCTTAATAAGATCTATCGTTTAGTAATACGAAAAATAGAAATATTACTGTGGTTGTAGTTCCGGAATGCCCATTGGAATCGATTCCAGTAACGCTGTCTCTTTTGGTGGTCCGGCACAAGTGTGTGACTGGTTCGCGGCCGCAACAGAGAAAGAGATCACCTGGAGGAATCCGCGTCATGACCATGAAGTGATTATGACAGATAACAGCCTATGGCAGAGACCAGTAGCGGTACAAATTTAAGCTGAAGTAAAGGTGTGCACGTAACACCTGCCTGGAGAACGAAGACAACGCGCCGAAACGGCATTGAAAAGCCATACTAGTCATGATTGAAGGGACATAGCTGATGAGTATTGACTACAGCTCGTCAAGCTATATCTATATAAATTGTCCTCAGATTGGATGCTTGCGATGACGGCCTGGATTACTTATTACAAGCTTGGCTACTTGCTGACGAGGGCTGTCTTATCTTGTGATATAAGACTATATTACCATCTGAGAAGAGCGTGAGCTAGTAGTAATAATGGATGCGCCGAGGAAAAGTAAAAAATGGGCTTACCCAAAGGTCTCTTCAATATATTCGACGCCGCGTTTGCCTTGCTTTAGAGCCATGTGCACTGCAGCTCTCGCCTCATCGGCCATGCCAGCGGGTCCGCAAGTGAGAATGGCAATTCTTCTGCCTGCTGTGTCAGTGTCGTTCATTTTATCAATCACACCTAGTATCGTTCCTTGTATGTTAGGTCGGCCGTAGATGATGTTGATGTTGGTAGTACTAGCATTGGTACGCGGGATAATCTCGAGGTCCTCATTACCGCTGTTAGCCGCGTCCACGGAAGTAAGCCGGCCACTTCCGCGAGAGGTGGCATGGAGATGGAGATGGACGTCATCACGCCCGATGTACGGCTGCAACTCTTGCGCGACAATGTCTTTGATCATGGATGTTTGTTTGGTCGACCAGACAAACGTGATGTTCCTGGTGAGCGTAGAGACTTTTCCTTCGGCTGCCCCTGATTGCTGTCTAGCATTGAGGGCCACACGCTTTGCATGATCTTGCATATACGGCAGTGCACCGGAGATGCCGGTCCCACCAACGATGAAAACGACGTGCTCAAAAGTATGTAACGGGCTCCTCTCTCCGTATGGGCCTTCAAGAAAGATGTGCGGCGTAATGATGCCAGTGGGAGACTTGAGACATTCCTCACGAAGACGTCGAGTCCAGCTGCTAAAAGGACGTATAAGAAAGGTAAGTTTCTGCTTGCCACCAGAAGCATCGGACACGGTTCGCTGGCCATGAGGCATAGGTTGGCCAATGTCTGAGGAATGACCAGAAGACGAGCCTTCAGTGTTGCTCGGGATCTCTTTCTCTGCAGCGCTGTTTAGTTGTTCCATGCCGGCAACAGTCTCAGCTTCCTCAGTGTCATCGATCCGCTCATATCCGGCCAAAGTGAATGGGTGATTTTCCCACCCTTTCCATTTTATCGGCTGATACAGGAAGTAATGCTGTCCAGGGCCGGGTTGGAGGAGGGTAGACCCCGGTATAAGCTGAAGTCGAATAAAGTCGCCCTGCTGACTGTATGTGATCGAGGCTTTAGTAGTCATGAGGGAGTGTGAAGACTTCATGTGAAGGTTACAGTATACCCATCGAAATAAGCGAGCCGCTCGATCAAAGCTCCAAATTGCTACGGGTGGCCATAGATACGGATTGTATTCACCATCGAATATGATGGTGTGGCTAATATGTTAGTGTCAGGAAAGGAAACACGGTGGTAAGGGAGGGGTAGCACATACTAATATAAGCCAACAAGTGTCACCACCGAAAGTGATATATGGATCAGAAGAAAGACCTCATATGACTTCACTCGGAACCACATGAATGAGAAAAAGACCAGTAGGCTCATCGTAATGGTAGCCTATATAACAAATTAGTTTAGAAACACCATTGGTGTCGGCGAGATATCAAAGAGCTTACCATGCCTCCCATATACCAGTACTGTTCTGTCCATGACTCGGCAAAATAGCCAACTGTAGGCCATCGTCAGGAACGTTTTGAAAGTCAGAGAGACGTGGACATAACATACATTCTCCCTCCAAGACTGACCAATTGATCGAATGAACAATTGCACATAAGGTCGCCCATCGAGCAATGTGGCGATGAAATATATTGAAAGTGGCAAAGCTCCAGCCAGTCAGCCATAAGAAGATATTATTCCTTCCAGCAAACATCCATAGCCAAGGTAAGCATGCATATGAGATGATACCAGTACGGTCGGCTATATAGCGCCAGCCTTGCTGACCGTTCGAATAGCTTGAAGACAATTGTTTAGTGAACGTATGCAAAAACGAAGGGGTTTGGGGGACGTACTAGAGATTAGGGTTAAAGATCTTGTAACCGACACAGCATAAGATAAAGTTCATAACGTAGAAAGTCACAATAATTATCGTCTCCATACGGGTCGGAATGGTCATCCAAAGTACTGGGCGGGAATGGTGTGAACCGAATGCGGCGGGAATAATCAAATTTGCCCTGATCCAGTCATAGATGAATTTGATGAATCCAGGAAGTTCATCCCGACGCTTTACGGAGGAGTTTTGCCCTTCTTCGACATCGTCCATAGCCTTTAAGCGTCGAGACTGGAAGAAAGAAGTGATGAGACGATTTATGATGCCGATCAGTAGTATTCCTCCCCAGAAGCCATACATTGCCCAGCTAAAGATAGTTAGCCAATATCCAAAGAGGTAAAAGAAAGTAACACACCCGTAAGCATGTGGATATTCTGCAGTTTCAATGTCGAAGTCAACCTGTCTTATTGTTAGCCCTCGACAAACATGTGGCGAACAGAGCACGATTACCCAAGTGTCTCTGGCGGTTTTCCAATAAGAGCGGGTTATCAGCACGGGCTCGTTGAAGACCGTACCCTTTTCATAATCATTATAGTCGGCGACAGTGAGAGACTTCATGTATTCATCGGTAAGCAGTGGCTCAATGTCGGAGTAAGGGACCAATGTCAGTCCCTCGCCGTATTCCTGGCATTCCTGATTAAAATAGTCGTATCCGGCTTGGATTTCTCTGATGCTGCAATAGAGCTTGGCAGCTGCGTACATTGAGATTGTGTACACTTTGTTGGTGCATAGGTTGCCATAGTAGTCGGTAGGATTAGTTAGATTGAAAGTGAGATAATCCACAGCCGTCTCAACTCCCTGGAAGCAGCCAGTCCACTTGTCAACCGTTCCAAATGCTATACCTACCAGTGCCAGAAAGGTTGTTAACAGTTTCATTTTGAACGTAGACTTCCGCAGGGCTTGGAAGCAACCACTGGAACTGAAGAAGTAATCGAGAAATATGCACTGTAATTGATTTGAAGGGCTGGCAGTCCCATATAAGACTGCCATTCCGGGGGTGGAACTACATGTGCAATAAAGGGCGTGTTGGCCCTCCACGCGCGTTGGAACGCATATTGAGCTAACTCTATCTGATTTGGGGGAGCTTGAACGGTTGTACAGGAAGAAGCTGAGATGCCCGAGACCTGATCGTGCCACTCCCATGCTAGTATTGTGACTGACCTTTTCCCCTAGACCGAGTCTCATGCTTCAGACGCACCTAAAAGAGAAGAAGACCGAGAAACCATCGTAGTAAAGGTGGGCCAGTAGACAACCGTATGAAACTTGAGTTCATGGCGGAAGCGAGCTTTCCACCATTTCGAGACTCTCTTGTATACCATTCACCTTTTGTTTCGGTAAGATTTGACGTCAATCATGCACCGGCAGTGACAAGAAACTCACTAAGGATGGCTTCAATGTGTCAAGCTTTGTCAAGCTTGGTGTAATGGAAAGCAATCTCTCACTAACTCTTGGAATTCAATCCAGAAGTCATCACTTCTCAACTACAAACATGATACTTACACTGCGCTAGAGCTATCTAGATGGGCTAAACATGGTCGTATGACCGATATCGGTCTTTTAGCTTGTTCGGGAAGAGGATATCTGCATCTCTGAGCACAGTCGACGCACCGGTGTGCGAGCTCAGGCTTGCGTGAAGCATTCTGCACGGAGAAAAGTTTGCTCTAGACCGCGGGCGTTCCATGGTCGGAAAATCCATGTAAGCGAGGACTAGAGCTAATCCTGGGTCTTAACGGAATATGCAGGTCTGTGGAATGATTGTGGCCATTAAAAAGATGCCGAAACGCATCATCATCCTCGCATGAGCTCTCATGTGTAAGGATCATGGTCCAGATCACGAATTCAATGGCTGTCTAAGTTTGACGGTTAACTTTAAACGGAAAGCGCTGCCTTCGAGAGCTCTGTACGCTCAGTCTACGCGCGAAGAGTGGAATAGTGCTCAAATCGTACCCAGGGTGACTTCCGCTGGACCGTACGCGGTGAATGTGTGCGCCAGGCGTCCGTTAGGGAGGGGCATCCAAACCGGGGAGTATTATTTGACGAAAGATATGGTAGCAAGTGGAAATGATGTCGGGTTGGAAAACCTAGAAGACACTGGCCTTCACACGCTGTTCGTTTTTTTTCGCGTATGGCACTGACCGTGCTGAGGTGGCAGAGAGATCTGATGGTCTGTGGCTGCCTGGGGGAACAATACGTTCACCGGTCATCTCCAGCCGAATGAAGTGCGGGTCATTCGAATCAACAAGAACACTCAAATGCCTGTAAAGATTTTGGAATGCTTTACTCAAACTTCGTTGGCCTAGGGTAGGTGAATCCCACGTCTCGGACCAAGCGCAAGGATGTAGTGAAACCCCCTAGTCCAAGTTCGAATAATCTTATCTAATCGATTGTATGTTGGCTAATCATATCTGATAATCAGTTATCTGATCAAACCGTTCAGCCAGCACTACTGTAAGTGCTAGGGTATTGCAGGATCAGGATCCCTGGAATTTACACCCGATGTCGGTGCTCGTGGGGTCAACGGAGCTGCGCGGCCTGCCGATCGCTTACACAGCTGCGACCTGGAACCGCTTGGACGATGGAAGATGATGGGGATTCAAGCTTTGAACTAAGCTTGTCAAACTGGAGGTAAAACTTAGGAAAGTAAAGCCAAGGCTTTCTAGGGAAAAGCGGTTACACTACCCTGACCCACTGTGCTAGTAGACTAACAGATTCACGTAGTTGTTATAGTGCCATCGATCCAGGGATCTCGGGGGCTGAATCGACACATCAAAAATTCTAAGATCATCAGACCATTCGCTTCCTCTACTATTCCGGCTAGATGCTACTCTTCACACTCTACATTCACTCCACCGCCCACAAGCGCGCTGGACCATCTTCACAAGAGCTTCTTGACGAGTTCTCCGCTATCGGCGTGGACAAGCCCTGGACTCATAGAGCCTCCCACTCTCTGGTGGCGCATTACGTTTCTCTATAGACTCTACCAGTTGCTGCAAACCTGCTCTCTACGCGCCTTGTCCACAACAGGGCAAGTCAAAATGAACGCAGGAGTATAGCTCCTACACAAGTTTTCCGCGATACCCGTCGTCTGCCCAAAGACGCCATGGCCGTACCATTCTTTGGTCTAAATACCACTTTTCTCGCGCAAATAACGCGATCTTTGCTGTTATTGGAAAGATCTTGGCGCAACAGCCACCATTTTCCTGCGTTCATTCGAGGTCAAAGTCCTCGATAGGCTCAAGTAGGGTCGCCGGGACCACTGACCAGAACCAAATATCGGCGACGTTGCCGAACTCTGGCTGTATATGAATCCTGCCAGTGGCATTCTGGTCAGTGGTCAAACTATTTCCTCTGCCGAGGTCTCATCTCCTTTTCTGTCCTGTGCTGGGCCAAACATCACGGATTTGCTGTTGACAATCTAGCCTTCACTGCGATGTTGCTCGAAATATTGGCCACCCTCACCACGCTCGCTGGGGCCACCCTGGGCCAAAGCTCACCAGATCTGGCCACTGTTCTCAACACTACTGACGGGACTTCCACCCTTGGCCAAGTTGTTTCTCAATCCCCAGGATTCTTGGAAGCCATATCTGGGAAGACGAATCTCACCTTCCTCGCCCCGAACGACACAGCCATTGCCCTGTGGCTAAATTCTTCTCAGGGACAAGCAGCCTCGGACGCCGGGGACGATTACCTTACCAATCTCTTACTGTATCACACAATCAATGGAGGATACAATAACATCTCAGACTACTTTGTCGCTCACACCCTCTTGACTTCCAACACCCTCACAAATGTATCGGGTGGCCAATTTATAGCGGGTTACTACGACGACGATGACAATGTGACCACATTCCTCAGTGGAGACTACAACGACTCCAGTGCTGGTGTGACTCCCCTGTCCTTTGCCCAGGGATGGATCTACATCATCGACAGTGTACTATCGGTTCCACAGATCTTTAGTGAGGTCGCGGTTGCGGACGACTTCAACGGGACTTCGTTCGTTGCGGCTCTTGATAGTACCGGACTAACGGAACAGTTCAACTCACTCCATGACGCCACATACTTTGTTCCTTATGACTCAGGCTGGTCCCTTGTGGAGGATGCCCTATCGCAACTCAGCAAGGACAATTTGACGGAGGTGCTCAAATACCACGCTTGCGAGCAGATCTTACTTTTCGACGACTGGGCCAATGGCACCCAAGTGACTACACTGACGGGTGAGACTGTCACCTTCACGCAAACACCCGACGAGGAGTGGTTCATCAACAATGCCGGCGTCAGTTCCGTCAACCTCTTTTCCTCTGGAGGAGTTATTGTGCTTATTGACAGCGTGATGAACCCTTATAAAGGCTTTGCGCAACCGCTGAATGGCACTGATGGAGATGGTGTCCCTGCATGGCCGGTCACAAATGCCACCAGCACGGAAGCAGCTAGTTCGAGCACCGTATCTGCCACAGGAAGCATTGCTACTGCTACCTATTCTGGTGCCGCCGTACCGCTGAGGACAGAATCTGTTGGTTTGGCTGTGTTCCTCGGGTATGCTGCATTGGCTATTCTTTGATTCGCGATACTGCACGAGGTTGCGGCATAGCATCGACATCTTGGGATGGGAGGTGGAAGTACGCGAGATCCTACATCCGATCGCTTTCGGCAAGGTGATAAGAACGAATGTCGGCCTAGCTAATAATGAATTATTTCACCACTCAGTTGAAACATTTTCGAAGCCATTGACGTGTAGGGAGAGTGATCTTGATATCGATAGGCAGTATTCTTTGAACTTGTTGTTGATCGATTGCCAAGTTGGAAGGTGAGTGTACTCTTCTATGTTGATATCAGTCAGCGTCGAAGGGAAAGGGCTATCCTCTCTCGGTGCACTTTGCGAAGCTGCGACAGTCTGAAGATCCCATAGCCCTATATATCCCAGCTTTGGGACGAAGCCTCGACTAGTTTCGACAGATCGACTTGGATAACGTAGGAGTCGCCAATTTCGCAGACTAAGCGGTCCAGGTGCTCGTCGGTATACGCAAGTAGAATCCGATCTCTTAGAGATGGAAACGGTATGCAGTCGATGATCGCAGCGTGTAAGCTAGACTGTTGAAGGAGACTCGGTCGGTAAGATGGGTCGAGATCGGCGGACGTCTCTGGGCTTGCGTTGATCCGCCGCATGGTCAGCTTTCCAAGTCGGTTGTGAGCACCCGTATAGGTATAGAAGCTCATCATTGGCGGCCACATCGAGCATATGAATCCTGACAATATGAGGTCTACAGAGGAGCGAAGGCTGTTGTCCAGTCAGCCCAGATGCAAAGGAAAGGCTCAAGCCGCAGCCCATCTAGCATGTAACTCACCTATTCATGTCATCGTGCAGCTGATATTTCATTTCATTCCATTTTCGCTTGATACAGGATTCGAACGCGATAATGTGAGCAGAGTCTGATGAGTTGGCTCCAGGCTAGTTTTGCTTCGTAGCTGTTGAGATGGAATTCGGTATTTGCGGATGATCGGTTTACAAAACAGACCTCTTTCCCCGAGTCTGTTTGCTGAAAGCAGCCAAACCCAATTCCGGAAGATGTGAGATCATGAAGCAGGTCTGGGAACAGTGTGGAAGAAATATCCGGAAGGGTAGTCGGGTCCTCATTGCGGCGGATGATCTCTACCGGTCCAAGGTCCGATATACGGTTGTTAGTTTGCGGCAACGTTATGTCTGTTGTGGGTGATATAAGTGAGCTATCGACCTGTTGGATATCGCAACCGAAGTCCAGTCTATGAGAGTAGACAGAATCCTCGATACATTTATCCGCTTCTCCATCTCTTGGCACATCAAGCTCCGACTTGTCGACGTCTGAGCCTAGCAATCTGCTGTAGGTGATGGCTACCCCGTCAAGCTGGTTAGCGGAAACAAAGCAGGAAGTTGAGATGTTGATTCAAGGTGCTGAGAATACCTTCTCGTAAAGTACGCCTGTGATGTCGGCGGATACACCCTCTAAAGACGCCTGGGTGCTCCGAAGCTTCTTGCGACACTCCAGCAGCTGATCGCGCAAAACGCGATTTTCTTCCTCAAGCGCCACCATTCGGGATGTTTCTGGCTTTTCGGCGATCTGAAGCCGTTTTTCGGGTTCCATCACATATATCTTTCGCGGAAGGCTTTTTGGCATAGGCGATTCCGAAGTTTCCTGGCCAAACTCGCTTAGCATGCCGCACGTCTGGGTCCATGGGTCTCAAACGGTTCGCCTCGAACAACACCTGGGCGAACGGCAAGACCAGCCATTGACTCGAAAGTCTGCAGGCAAACTGCCGCATAGGGAGGAAACCAACTTTAAATCCTGCGCGGTCCCATTGGTCGGTGCCTTTGTTCGCCTCCTTTTCAGGTAATTGATGGAGTCTCCCATCATTGATACTAGACTTCAGAAGAAGTCCGTTCGTTGGTGCACAACTGAGTGGTCAATGTCGAATTCGAAGGCAATACACATGCAGCAAATCTGATTTCAAACTTGCTGAGTATTCTAGCGCGGGGAATGCTAGTGTAACAGTGGAAACGAGAGGGACTGAGGAGTGGTCAACACACTGTAGTAGGAATAACTCCACAAACTATCCTTGTTGACCCTATTACAGCCTCGGGTAACCTATTGAGGTCATGAGAAAGGGACTTTGCCAGGATTATTCAGGTACTTTACTGCGCACATTGGCACCACCCAGTGCCTGACTCTTTTACGAGACAATTGCTTGTTTGTGATTGGCGGGCGAGGTCTCCAGGCCTGTTGTTGTCATTGATGATGTTGCCGCGTAGGCTTATGTTATCAACGGCTGTTCTAGTGCCGAGAATCAAGGACGTGTATTTGCAAGGTCCACATTTACTTCCGGACGGATATAAATTCAGTGGCTGATGTGAGCCATAGATGCAATCGGGGTCTGGATAAGGCGTCCTGGCACGGAATAATGTAGTTCCAGCGAATCAGGAGGCTCGGAATCGGAACCGGCATAGTGGGAGTCGACTTCTGGTTCGTGGCACAGGTCAACTATAAAGACCTTGCCACTGTTCGATGTGTCCTTCATTCAGTCAGGTCAGTCTCATAGCTCCCTAGTCGATTATGGTTTTCTCGCGTATACCTTCTGCAGTGGTCGACCCTGCGCCACTTGGGTCACCCATCACCTATAATTATTCGGGGCAAACAGCAAGTAACCGATTCCTCAAAGCGGCCATGAGCGAACAGATCTCTTCATGGGACCCGACGAATCTTTTGGCGCGTGGAATTCCATCCAGGGAGGTCATCAAAGTCTATCGAAGATGGGGAGAGGGCGGTTGGGGGCATATACTAACAGGGAACATCATGGTTGCGTACGACCAGCTGGAGTCACCCGGAAACCTCATCATCCCCCCAGACGCACTGTTTGAAGGGCCAAGGTTTGAAGCATGGAAAGAATTGGCATCACAGGCCAAAAAACAGGGCAGTCTGATTTCTGGTCAAGTGAGTCATCCAGGCCGACAAACCGACATCCGACTTCAAGCAAATCCAATATCCGCAAGCGACATCCAACTGCAAACTACCATGGGCAGGTCATTTGCAAAACCAAGACCAGCGTCGCAAGAAGACATTGATGCAGTTATCGACGCCTTTGTATATGCAGCTCAATACCTTCATGCTGCAGGCTTTGATGGTATCCAGCTTCATGGAGCTCACGGCTATTTCTTGGCCCAGTTCCTCTCAAAGACCACCAACAAACGAACAGATCAGTATGGGGGTGGGCTAAGGAACAGAGCTCGCATTATTTTGCAAATCGCAGATGCTATTCGTGGAGAATTACCCAAGTTCCTCTTGGGGATCAAAATCAACAGTGTTGAATTCCAGGACCAAGGATTTACTCCATCTGAGGCTGTCGAACTCTGTACCCTATTGGAAGAGGCCAAGTTTGATTGGGTCGAGTTGAGTGGTGGTACATATGAGAATTTCGGACCGCTCGAGGGGAAGCAAGCAAGCACAAGGAGAAGAGAGGGGTTTTTTCTGGAGTTTGCGGAGATGATCAAGCTGCACGATACGAAGCTTTACGTGACGGGAGGGCTTCGTACAGTACAAGGGATGGTTGCAGCTTTGAGCACAGTGGATGGTGTCGGATTAGGACGTCCCGCGGCTCAAGAATTCAGCCTAGCGAAAGAAATCCTGCGGGGACAGGTGACTGGAGCAATCGAGCAACAGATAGACCAGTACAATTTCGCTCTGACGACGATCACGGCGGGCACACAGATTGGACAGGTGGGAAAAGATCAGCAACCTATCAACATGGGGATCAAGGAGAATGTCAGCATCTTGATGAAGAGCTTTGGGACCTATATGCAGGAACTCGCTGAAGGTATGTCTGGAAATATAGTGTGGGAACCCTCTAACGCGGTACAGATGCGAATACAATGAAACGGACAGGCTATGCCAATTTAGAGGGCTATACACCGGAGCCTTTCAGTCCAGTCAAAACATAGGACCAGATGTTGTTGTTCCAATCATCACGCTCCTGGAAAATAAAATGTCCCCCGTCTTGGAGTCGAGCCCAGAGAATGTTGACGCATCCGCCCAAGGCCTCAACTCAATTCAGGCCTAGCTCTTCGAAAAGCGGGAGGAAGAAGATGGAGTAGGTGAGAAATCCACGGACATGTTGTACAGACAAAACTCCCCGGAGTTTTCCAGAACCATTACTCTGACCCAAGACCGCGGACTTTTCGGCTCACAAGTGGATTAACATTGGTACACCCCACGGGGTAGTCAGTATGGCTATACCACAAACGGTGTGGTTATATTTGACTCTAGTGATATGCATGTATGTAGATGCCTGAGTACAAGTACCTCCGAGTCCTTTCTGCGTCCATAAATATGCCCTTCATCCTAATCTTCTTCCTCGTCAAGACCCAACTCTTGCGCTGCAAGGATATCCCTCACAATGGTTCACAAGACCACCAATCAAGATGGACTCACATCAGCAGAGCCTCCTGTCCGTCATTACAACCAATATACTCTCCTTGTGTCCATCGGCTTATCGCTTTCGTTTCTGGCCTACGGTTATACCGGCGCTGTCATTGGCACCGTGGGTGGCCAGCCATCTTTCCTCCAGTACATGAACCTCATTACAGCCAGCAACGCCACCCAGCTTTTTGGTGCCACAAACGGACTGTACTACGCAGGCGGTGTCTTCGGCACCATCTACGCCTCCTACGCCGCTGACCGTTGGGGCCGGAAAAACGCGTCTGTACAAGCTCAGGTTGGCCTCGTTATCGCCCAGGCCATTCAGACAGGTTCGGTTCACATAGCAATGTTTATTGTTGGCCGGTTTATAGCGGGATTTGCGTCAGTCTCCTCTCCTGAAACTTTCATCCTTGTGAGATGGTTCTCTACCTGTCCCCTCTGGCTGTCTGCAAAAGTGGATGCAGAGTCTGCTTTGGACGGAAGAGGGCAGATATATGTACAAGAAATGAAAGCTGACTCTTAGGGTATCTCGGTCTGCAGTGGATACATTACATTATGCGTCACGCCCATGTGGCTGTCCGAACTTGTTCCCCCTCGCCAGCGAGGCACTCTTATGCAGATCATTGCAATCACGCTTGGGCTCGGATACGTTGCGGCCAACTGGATCGGCTACGGCTTCTCTTTCTACACTGGAAAGGTTCTTGCGTTCCGCCCAATTTTAGGTACGGTTTATACATCGAGTACGACGAAGAAGGAAACCCCTGCTGATCATCACATCCATTCTCCAGCTCTCGGCATGGTCGTTCCTGTCATCTGCATCATTCTCTTCATATGGCTCCCTGAAAGCCCACGGTGGCTTATAATGAAAGATCGTCATCCAGAAGCTCATGCGCTACTACGCCGCCTGCATCGATCACCAGTCGATAAAGACGACTCTTTTGCCGATGTCGAGTACTATCAAATCTCTAGGCAGGCCGCCGTTGATGCCAACCTTGACCTCTCTTGGAAGTCAATGATCTCGACCCGCCCGATGACATTACGGACGGCGTTTGGAATTGTGTGGCCAGCAATGACCGCAACATCGGGGGTGAATGTTGTTGTTAGTAAGTATTGACCCCGACCACATACCGTGAGGCTAGCAGCATCTATCATGTTACTATATCTCAGTCGACATTGTTATCTCACCTGTATTCCATGCGAAGTTTGGGCTCTCAAACCTCACAGCCCTCTGCCTGAATCACCTGAGGTGAGCTGACCTGACCATCTCACAGACTATGGTCCGCTCCTGTACAGCCTGCTTGGCTTCTCCTCCGACAAACAGCTTATATATCAAGGCGGCTGGGCAACATTGAACTGGGGCGGCAACGTCATCGGCATTTTTATCATTGATCGATTCAATCGACCGGGATATTCAATCACCGGCTTCGTGGGCGTGACCTGCTGTCTCCTCGTCGAAGCTATCATCGTGGCAACTTCGTTAGACAATGGTACCGACTCAGTGCTACGTTTGGGCGTGGCGTCCATCTTTCTTTTCGGCGCATTCTTCGGCTGCTTCATCGACGGATTGCTCTTTACGTGGGTGGGAGAGGTGTTTCCTACGCCATACCGTGCAAAGGGCTACACCATAGCCCTGGCGACACAGGCTCTGTTCAATATTATATGGACCGAGGCCGCACCGACGGCTTTCGCGTAAGTGACGCAGTCATCATCTCGTCGTGCGGATGTGAAGGTGGTGTGGTGATCACCGCACAAGAGCCAGACGCTGACATTGAGGCAGTAATATCAAATGGGGTTACTATATCGTCTTCATCGTCCTGAACGCCATCTCAGTTGTTGTTATCTGGCTTTTCTTCCCCAACACAAGAGGTCTGGCCTTGGAAGAGGTGGGCGCGATATTTGGTGTAAGTTATCCCAGACAGTTCTGTATTCGCTGCTTCACCATCCAAGTCTTGTTCCACATCATTTCAAAGTATTCCCTTCACATCAAAATTACAAACCAAATTGGTATAAATGCGTGTCTGACCTTCATCCAGGACGGTGATCGCATCGCGGTGTATCAGCGTGATATCGACCTGAGCACCCTCCAAACCGAGGTGGCAGTGATCGACAAGGAGCACGGATTCTCTGGGAAAGAGTTGAGGGTAGAGGCTCAGCACATCGAGGCGACAGAAGAGAAGACGTCCGGCTAGACTCCGAAAAGGATGTCTGCGAGAACTGGAATAGTCGTAGGATTTTCGACTGCGGCCTATTTAAGAGAGACGAGGCGTGTACGTTGGTTGGGTATGTGGTTAATGATAGTTTGTGTCCCAGTGACGACAGAGTGGCATGAAAGTGAAGGTGATATCGCTGTGTGCAATGGCATTACGAAAGGCATTAACTAAGGAGGAACGACAGAGCCTGACGTGGTTTCGAAGATATTTGGCGACATGAATCTCCCAGGATCTGAGAGTCTCGACTTTGAAGCAAATCAATTGTGGAATCTGACGATCCTGCTCTCCGCAGCGGTGATTGATTTTCTCATGCTCAGGGCTTGCCAACTTTTCGGTCGTGGAGGCTAAGGGATAGGAAAGCGGTGCATGTCCAGTTCAAGAGATAATTCGGGATCCTCAGCTGCCCATAGATCTGCCCAGGGAACGGCCCACGGACTGGGGAAATCTTTGTTGATAGCGTCAATCAACCCAGAGTCGGCGTCACCGAAGAGCGTTTCAGGATACATAAACGCGTTGCCTGAGTTCTGCAAGGCGGTGGTCGCTGCGACAGGCCCTGGGAACGCGACGTCGGACAAGCCCCGATCGATTCTAGGCTCTGATCTTGGCCACGTTATGGAATTGTGCTGTCCACGCACGAAGATGTCAATATCTGACTGGGCTTGCTCTGGCATGTGGTGATCATGGACCTGTATCTCTTGAGCCTCCAGTTGGGGCACGCTTGAATTTACTCCCGATGATTCCTGACTTCCTAAACCGACCCAAGGCCCCATCGTCACCGGGGCTTGCTCTATTAGCGGCAAGGTTTCGAAGAGCTCGGAACCAGACTCGGATCTTCGGTGAGTCGCCGTGGTGATTCTCGGGCGTGTGGGAGACTTCATGTCAGTCCAGCTTGCACCCAACATTTCTTTGCCCTCGAATGCATGTGATAAATGCTGTGGCGAGGCGTCCTGCGAGTGCTTGACCAGCTCTGGCTCAAGAGCTCGCATGAAAGAGACGGCATGCTGATATCTAGTTCCCAGCTGCATTGCTACGTGTTTGCAATGGTCAAAATTGCTTCGCAAAACAGGTAGTTGCTCGGGCCCGCATGTTTTGGACTCGATATGTTGAAAGATGAGGGCGGAAAAGAAGACGGTAATCCTGTTGGGGGAATCAGAGAAGAATTCTTCAACCAGAGGGTTGGGTGGATCACCACCTACGTGTAAGAAGGAAGATACTTTGTTAGATCAGCCCGAACCAAGGCTGCTGCGATTCGCGAGGTGTCATCTGCGGTATCATGCAGCTTGGTAGACGCCTTTGCCTTCAGTGCTGGGTCTCCAAGTCGAGGAAGCATAGTGTCTCGAGACGACGGATGAATATGCGGGCGAAACAAAGCCATGACAGCGAGATTGTAGCCGAGCCGGAGGGCTATGCGGTTCACCATTGAGGCCCCATACTCGTGTTCCTCGAGCGTCTGATCATCCAGCAGAGGGGTGGCGAGCTCCTGAGGTAGACTGCTCTGCCATTCCGAGAGCCAGGACTCGCAAACATTCATCTCGTGTATCAAAAGGGTGCCTTGGTCCATCTGCAGAGCTTGGGGAGCCCATTTCAATATCGGATGGTTCGACCAAACGGCAAGAGATGATTGAATGGAAAGAATGCGGTTGATGCAAAGGCAGAGCTTGGCCAGCTCGACAGCCATAAGGTCATTTGTCTTGCGGTCCACGTTTAACTGTCTAGCCTCTCCGAAGTCAAAGTCGTCGAGGCGGAGCATGTCAAGGGGCATGTCGGCATAGTCGCTCTTGCGAGGATAGCGTAACGTTAAGGCGAGTATGGTTTCGCGCATGAAACACGCCCACCATATTCTCCTGAGGAGTTTGGCCTGCCTGGCTGTTGAAGGCAGTCTTTGGATCAAGTTGGGTAAGTCCAAGCTTTGCACCAACGATGTCGCGGCACTCATCCAGAACCACGTATACCGGTCATCTTCGGGGTGTTCTACCCAGTGCGTGAACAGGAGAAGTGTCTGTAAGGTGGTGACGAGATCCTGCTCATATTTGAAGTCATACAGTAACATTGCCCGTGCGTAGAGCGCTTCCCGAGCCGCCTGTCGAGTCTCAAACCCCATAGCACGGACCGTTGCGAGGTCGACAAACTGTACAGAGTTGTCTCTCGTTTAGCCTACAAGTCCGACAAAATATTAGGGGCAAAGGGGGTTGGGGGTGCATACCGCGCTTCCACAGAAGAAAACCGCCTGCAGCAGCAGAAGGCTATAGGGTCCTTCCTGTTCCTGCTCGCTAGATTTCTGTGTAGTGTCAGATTCGAAGAGTGCGATCAGCTCGTCGCAGTCAAGTAGGGGCATGTACGGATGCACAGAGTGGCAATAGCTCCGAATAAGCTGTCTGGCGCAGTCGAAGGATGGAATCGTCAAAGCATCCTGTTCAAACAAGAACATCTTCTCACGTTGAAGCATGGTTGACGGTAATGGTTTGACGAAAGCAGGCAAAGTTGGTGTTGCGTCAGTGGGATTGTTCGCGCCCAGTGCAGCGGCAGATGATCCTTTGGTATCGAGACATTGCTTTTTGGTTAGGGTAGCAGACTTCTCATTGTTCATTCGCCGCTTGAGAGGACGGATATGGCCCTGGGTTTCCGTTATGGTCAAGGAAGGCATTCTCCTCCTGGCTCGATAGACCAGACCAAGAAAGGAACGCTGTCTTCTTCAGATGGCCCGATATAAGTGTGTATGACAAATTGAACAATGTACCAGGGAGAAAGAAAAGGCAAGTTGTCGTCGGGACTCAAGGCAAACAAGGACGTCAAGATCCAACCCCGCTTCGGGCAATGGCACCATCCACACCAAACGCACTGAGCCGGTAGCCTGGGGATTTGGTGGAGAACCACGAGGACAAGCACGAAGGATTATTGCTAAGCAAAAAAGGCGACGATGTGGGAGGTCGGACCAAGCATTCTAGACATGCGGTCGGCACCAGGAGCTTGTCTCGTGGTCACCTGGGTGTGCTCGGATTCCATCTTCCGCCACGTATTACTTCATCTCCACGGAAAAATATCACGAGCCTCGCTCAGCCTTGTGGCCCGCCACCCGCGTGTACCGAGGGGAAACCCGTCTCTCCTGGGTCTCTGGACTTCTCCAGGCGGGGGATGGCTGGGGAGCGCTTGGTCCACCATCTTACATGAGGTGTTTTGGACGGAGAACCGGATGCGGAGTCTCGTTCTATAACGGAGTCTCGTTTTATACAAGAACCCCCATCTGCACAAGATGGATGCCCCATTCCCAGCACCACCAACTCACAGACCTGCGTCGACTCAGCTTAGCACTCTACCTGCAGTATGTCTTCCTTGGCCGATATTCTACGTGCCAATGGCGCCCTGCTGGGAACTTTTGTCAACCTGACCTCAACGTTGTCCGCACATATCATTGGCATTTCCGGCTATGACACCGTGATAATCGACATGGAGCACGCCCCAACATCGGCGCTCGAAGCAACGCACATTGTCCAGGCAATAGGCTCATCATCCAAGGGGACCTGTAAGCCCCTCGTCCGTGTGCCTTCCCATGGAGTGGAGTGGATCAAATGGGCTCTCGACAGTGGCGCAGCCGGCATCGTAGTCCCCATGGTCAATACGCCAGACGACGTGCGCCAAATTGTCCAAAAGGCCCGCTACCCACCCCTTGGCCAACGCAGCTATGGCCCGTCCTATGCCCCCTTCGCTGATCCAACCTTCGATAGGACGCCTGGGCAATATTTCAACACGATCGCCCCAGGACTTGCAGTGCTGCCCATGATCGAATCTGCCGAGGGCGTGAAGAATGCCGATGCTATCCTTGCCACTGAAGGCGTCACAGGTGCATTTGTTGGGCCCTTTGATCTGCGCTGCTCGCTGGGCCTACCTGGTGGAGATGGAACAGAGCAGCGCTTTCTCGATGCGTTGAGCGCCATTGCAGCGGCCGGGAAGAAGGCCAACAAGCCCGTCGGCATCTACACGGGATCGATCGAGCAGATGAAGCGCAATTTGTCCTTGGGCTTCAGTCTGATTGTCTTCCAAGCCGACTCCACATTCCTTGCGAGCGCTGCCAGGGCTTCGGCAGAAGAGGCGAGATCCGTCTTGAAGCAGGCGAAGCTGTAAGATGTAAGGGTGCGCTGGATAAATCGAGGACAGAGTATTCAGGGAGATGACAAGTCGATCATTCACCTTTACCTAATGATATTGCACCATAGTTCAGAGTAAAGGTCGAGTTGTTGAGGGTCTTCTTGGTAAAAGCTAGAGCTTTCCAACAACCAATGTCATGATGCATGGCCCCGAGACACTCATTTCGCAGAATTTTCCATTCGTCTTTGGTGTTGCCAGGTCTGGCCCAAGCTAGTCACGAGCTCCATGCCTCTGGTGGCGCTATCGAATGTCTGGCCCATTTCAGCCAACGCTCGGATACTGAGTCGCAGCGACTGTTGTGCCATCCCCCTCCTCTCTTCACACGGCGGGCTGCCCTGCGACGAGCATTTGTCAGGGCAAAACACCGAAAAATATGCATGCATCACTCCGGCTGTGACGGTGCTGTGGACCATCTGCAGGTGGACGTTTTGCAGGCCGTAATGGCGTTTAAACAACATCAGCAAGGCGATTATTCTAGAAGCCGAGTCAAAGCAGTATTTTCCCGCCGTTGTGTGGACGTCGGTGATTGTTGAATCGAAGGCAGACCTTGGAGCTATCGTGGCCGAGCCCGCTGGTGAAGAAGTCACAATTTGAGAGGTGAATGGGCGGTTGAGGAGAATGATTATTTCGTGAAACAGCATACTAGGTGGTGAGGTTAGCCATTAGGATAGTTGATATGCTGGTGATGGGTGCACAAACTTCAGAAAGATGACTTCTTGCGCATACACTTCGTCTCTGGGTTCGGGTTCTCCACTTGAGTCGCTGATCTTCAACGGAGGCGGAAGAGAATGCCGCCATTGAAATAACTCCTCTGTCATTTGTTGCCAGAAAGGGAT